TAGCGCTATGTGGAATTTATTTTGCTGCCGGCGCTTTTAGTTAGCAGGCGACGTGCGGCGTGAAGAGATCTCAATTATCAAATATTTATATACAAACAAAAATAAAAAAAAAGTCTATACATTATTTAAAAAAAAAAAAAAAAACTTGTTGCAATTAATGAAAGCTATAAATATTATTATGCACTCTCGCTCTCTCTCTGCCTTCTCTCTCACTAATACTCCATCTGCTTGGTAAAGAAGGTCGTGCAACAGTCGATGACAAAATAAAGTGCAAGATTCAAAGCGTCTTCGAAATACAAATACAATTGCAAACATAACGGCAAATGTAGTGCTGAAAGTGCGATAAGGTAGCACTTAATCACACATACGCACACACACACAGAGATACAAACAGGAATACTCACACACTCCCACCACACGGCATACACAAGGGCATTGCCGATAAGCACCGTTACTTATCAACTTTGATATCGCACTCTCGCGCTCGTTTACTTGCTCTCTCTCGCTCTCGCTCTCGCTCTCACTGTTGCGGTTATTGTGCGCGTTACTCTCACGCGTAACTGTTCACTGGGCAGCAGAGCCATACGCACAGTTAGAGCACAGCTGTTGTCGTCGGCCAAGTGTCCCAAAGCAATGAAGAAGCAGCAGCAAGCAGAAGAAGAAGAAGCCGAACAACAACAATAACAACAGCGCGCACAAAGCTCGACGCGCAGTTTGCATTGTCGATTATGCAAAGCAACAACAACAACTGCCGCTCATCTACATGCATACATACATATGTATACGAAATACAACTGCAATATATGTACATATATATATTTATCCTACTGCATGTGCAAAGCAATTAAAACAAGTGCTCTGAAACAATAACAAAAACAAAAAGAAATATATACATACATACCTATCTATATATACATATATAAATGTATCGCGTCGCTGCTTACAAAATCAACGCTAAACACTAACAACAACAACAACAGCAAACTTTGCAGCACCTACACTCACACACACAAGCACACAAACACAGCCACAATGACCAGAGATAGGCTGCCAGACCTTTTACAGGTGAGTCGCTGTGTAAATTGTTATTTTTTATGTATATTTTTTTTAAGTTATTAGCGCCAATGTTTTTCTGATTCTTTTTTTTTCTGTGAGAGAGCAAGCTCAGTTGTTTATTGAGCAAATACAGTGTGCCAAAATGCAAAATAATGAGAGTTTTGCTCAGAAGAATAGAGTGTTGCATAAGTGCTTCATAAATAACATCCTGTGGCGCCCATTGTTAGGCAGTACTTTCGCATAGAGTGCAAAGCAAATGAAAACTAAATTGATGCATATAAAATAGAAAACTCGTGTTTCGTCTAGCTGCATTTTGAAATAGTATTCAGTTTACTTCTTTTTATGTTATTTTTTTTGCCGGCATTGCCGAGCACTACGCAACATTCCACAGCCGGCATTAGCACTATCTTGTCATGTACTGTGTTGGGGGTGGGGGGAGATGGCGCGGTGCGTGTTGTCATTGTTGAGCTCGGGCCGTTATTATCAGATCGTCCACAGATAAGAGCGATAAAGTAGCCCTCATGTGAGGGCCATTCCCCCACATCCATTGCCGTTCCAATTTCCAATTTGGCTGGCCAACTTTTATTATGCACAACGCTGCCAGATTGTGCATTTCGCGCCCATCGTGCCCAGCCCCCGCCGAGCAGCGAGAGCAGCGCAGATCGTTAGCGACAAAGAAAACAGCTACAGCCTAAAAAGAAGATGAAGAGAAAAAGCCGTCTAATTTAGGCACGAAGTTTTAGTTAGAGTCGCGCCGGCATCGCTGCAGCAGCGATGCTCGAAAATCAATTTTGTTTGTTTGTTTTTTTTTTTTTTTTTTCATTCATCTGTGAAGCTCGGGCTGTGCTAACTGTCTAAGCATTTTGTTAACTATTTTGCAGCGCTCGCTGAGCGCCAACTCAACGTCTTCATCATCGAACGGCTCGCTTTTGCTTAGCGCTTACAACGCTACCACCGAGTCCTTAACCAACAGCAACAGCAACAACAACAACCATAGCGGCAGCAGCAGCGGCGTAGACAACAACAAGGATCGCAGCAAAATGTCGGGAACGAATGTGGATGCTATTCTGACTCCAGTAAGTATGTGTGAGTTGGTGTGTGAGAGTGCGTATGTTTCTATGCGTGTGAGCGAGAGGGAACTGTTTGTGTATCGTAAAATGTCGCAGCAGGTATCGAATGTGGATGCTATCCTGAAGTCTGTGACTGTGTGCGTGTGAGAGAGCCCTGAGTGTAGCGATACTAGAGATGAGCGTGCGTATCGTATAATGAGACATAATTATGCTCCGAATCATGAATGAATTTTGTATAAAATGCAAACTATAAATACACAATCTCAACAAGCTGCAGGCTCAGATAAGATTAGCATGAGATAAGTGTAAGCAGTGAGAAGAAATGAAATCACTACTCTTTCTTCTACATTTTCTTTGTGGCTCACGGTGCGATGTCTAATATTTAATTGCGTGCGTTACACACCAAATGGAACCTGAGCTGTTTTCTTTTTGTAATCGGCACGCTGTCATCGCCAAGCAGGCCCATTGGATTCTATAACTGTTGTTTATCACACAACTTTTGATGGCCACGCGAATGAATCAGCCAGCGAGCAAGCGCCTCCACATCAGAAATGAATTACTCAATCGAACCGCGTGATAACCGAATGCTGGCTTATAGCGGCATCTAATTAATAAAGTACATACACATATACCAACAGATATACAAATGTATATGTGTCTACATGCATACAGTGTATGTCAATGCCAGTTGAAATTATTATTATTATTACTATTATGTATGTACTATTATGTATTAAGGGTTTAATGAACTTTTTGTTACAGAATCTTGGATAACGTAACGAATTACCGTTGAACTACATACATATGTATGTAAATTCCAATGAATTTTAAAAATTGTTCGCTTATCGCAAGCCGGCTTGCAGTATGTGTATGTATGTGTGTGTGTGATAGAGAGAGAGAAAGATAGTTTTGAGAGTGAGAGCACTTGACTGTTATTTAAATATATAACTGTATATTTATTACAAAAACACATATTGCTCACACGTTTACCAACACTACTTGCAGTATTCGGAAATACGGTATCAACTGTCGCAAATCGTGACCAATCTGGAGGCCATGGAACGCATGTCGCAGACGATACACTTGCGCACCTTCAGCGGTAGGTACAGTGAATACACATTAGCGTTAACCCCAGAAAGATTCATATATACGAAATACATGTATTTATACCACAGAGAACGAAATGGATGAGCTGCACAACAAGAATCTGCGATTGGGCAATCAGCTGATGAGTCGATTCAGGGAATTCAAAACGAATCTGCCGCCCGAGACGGACTACTGCCTGGAGGCGCGCATGAAGCGCACCCTCTTCTATGGCCTCTACCAGACGTTCATCAATCTGTGGCAGAAGAACGAAGAGTTCCTGCAGAACTATGAGATGAAGGTCAAGAAGAATCTGCGCATGCATTCCAAGATCAGTAAGTAATCAAGCGATCGCAACTCGATTCCCATTAATCCCACTTTGTTTAGTCAATTCGGAGGCCACAGATCAGGAGATTGAGCTGCTGATCGAGAACAAGACAACGAAGCTCTTTGTGGACAATGTGAGTTCGATGATGATTAACAAAAAGAAGCAACAACAACAAAATTAAAAACCAATTGAATTGTTTTAGATACTGCAAGAGACAGATAAGGAGCGGCAGACGCTACGCGATCTGATGGATCGATTCAATGAGCTGCGCAAGCTGGAGAAATCCATTGAGGATGTCCATGCGCTCTTCATGCGCATCCAAACGCTCGTCATGGAGCAGAGCGAGACGATACAGCGGGTGGAGTTCCATGCGAATCAAGCGACCCTTTACACTGAGAAGGGCGGCACTGAGCTCGACAAGGCCAACGAGTACCGGGAGAAGGCGCGCAAGGTGTTTTAGTTGAAAATAAATTTCATAACTTAGTATTTTCTTAATATCCATCTTTTTTTTTTGCAGAAAAAAATAATGATCATTGCCATACTCGTTGCAGTTGGGTTAGTTTTAATTTTTATCGGTATTTATTTGTGATGCACACAAGCGCAAAACAATTTATATATAATAATGTATAATATATACTTTTTTTTCATATGTATAGGACAAATAAATTTAATTTTGCTAAGCAGATTTTGTTTTAATTAAGCGGCAGACTTTCAAATGCCAAACTCACCACACTTGGACAGGCGCGCCTACAGGGTTGCATTTGCTATCTCTAGAAATGTCTGCAAAAGAAATGACATATTTTCTGTCAGCTGATTTTTGTTTATACATAATAAACATTTACTTTAAATGGTTTGCCCAATATTAAACCAATATTAATTAAATCCAAAAATGGGAAGACTACTGAAAAGTTAAGATGAAAGCAATAATTTTGATACACATACAAAAATGGCAGCTTTAAAATATTTTTACGACGCCCGTGCTGTTAAACGTTAACGTACGCTGTTAAACGCAATCATCTGTTCCGTTACGAGACAATCCATTTTGAAAACACAGAAGCGAAACTTCTTATACGACCGGAATTTGTGTTAACAGTAAGTAATAAAACCAAGATTTTAGGTCACCTCTATTACAGTATTGTTTATTTCTGTCCATTTAAAATTAAAAAGAAAAAAGAAAATAAGTGTATTATTTTTTAATTTAAATATAAATGAATAGACTCAGCCCTAGATACGCTTAATGTTCAAAAATACCAAGTAAGCTGCAAAATTTAGGTAGACAAACGCAATATTTGATATGCCATTTCGCAAAAGCCTTGCAAATAAACACAACAACAATGAATTTCCTAGGAAATTCATAGTTCCAGCTAATTGAATCAGCAATGTATATGCATAAATCTGTAACGTAAGCGCAGATTGAGTAACGTAACTGCAAACCTAACAGGGCTATGTTATGGATATGTTAACAGTCCAAATAGCCATTTAACATAACATAATACGCTGCCAAAAAATGCAAAACAATGAAGATAAATAGAAGCCAAGACGAAAACAAGTCCAACGTAAAATAATTAATTAACTCATTTGGGGTAAGTGCACAAGTGCATACATACAATATGCTGCTAGTGATCGAACAACAACAGCCAATCGAACGCAAACAGACAACAACAAAATCCAATCAAATTCTTGACCCATTGGCGAGCGCCATTTTTTCGCTGGCGTCGCACAAAGTTTGCCATTGATCTGCAAATTTCAGTGAATCTGCTGCAGATCTGTTATCTGTGCAGAGTGGGATATTTGCAGCATAATAACTGGAACTATTGCTACCATTCGTTATAGCCTGTTCGTTGCTTTGCCGTGGGCCGTGGGCCGCAATGGAGGACAACGGCAGCATGTGTAAAAGTGTGAAGTTTGCAGCCGAATCTGTTGTTCCCGAGACATCGACGGCAGCCAATGCAGCCAGCACATCTGCCAGCAATGGCAAGGGTGTGCAGTTCAAGTTGGCAGCCGTGGCCGAGCCCGAGGAGCTGCTCGGCTCGGTGACGACACAAAATTGCCCGGGCACCCGAGCGAGCGCGCGCGTCATACAGAAGATGAAGTTGGATCTGACGCGTCCGATGACACCGCCGCCGGTGGAGCGTGAGCACAGCAAGAAGGAGGAGAAGGCCGCCCAGAAGACGCCATCGCAGCTGCGGGCGGCCAGCAAAACGACCTGGACAAATCTGGAACGCAACTGTTTCTTCGATGCGCTCAACGAGTTTGGCAAAGATTTCGAGGCGGTGGCCAATTGCATCAATGCCAAGCTGAAGCGTCGCAACTCCAGCAGCGACTATAGCTTCAAGACCAAGGACCAGGTGCGCCAGCATTACTATCAGACATATCACAAGATTGGCAAATATGTGCGCTTCACCGATGGTGAGTCCCTGTATATATCAATAATCCGCCTTCACCTAATTAAATCCTCCTCCTCTTATAAAGAGCTCAAGAAGCCCGCCCAGGAGCTCTACACGCTCATCAACTATGGCGAGATGAGGCGCAAGCTGCAGTTCCTCACGGAGAAGCACTTCATGAAGCTGAAGCAACTTATCTACCAGGGCCACATCACGGTGCGCAGCAAGGGCAAGAATATACGCATCAAGACGCCCTCGTGTAAGGCGCTGCGACGCCTTAATCAGCTGGACGGTAAGTTCATCCGGATGAACTGAAAGCCAATCCATATCAATTCATTTTCATATTCCCACCTCAGACACATTGGAGGACATTCGCCTGCCCAGCAAGATCGAAGTGCTGGTCAGTCCGGCGAACATGGAGGCCTTTGGCCGTGTCCAGGCGCTCGCCCAGAATCCACGCGGACGAGCCATTGTGCCGCTGCACAAGAAGCTCATCACGTTCATCAAGACGTTTCAGTACAAATGGCGCAGTCCGGACGCCCGCCTGGCGGAGCAGCATCTCCAATCGAGCAGCGCTACTGCCGCCACTACCAGCACCAGCACCAGCGCCCCCGCCGCTGCCGCTGCCACTGCCGGCAGCGCAGAGCCGGCCGAGACCTACACGGAGCCGACGGTCTGCTTTCTGCCCAAGCCAGGCGTGCCCATACACCGGCCGCTGCTCAGCATTACGGCGTACTTGAGCAGCGTCAACATCTGCCTGGGCGCCTACGAGGAGCGTCTGGGCGTCAAGGTGCGCAGCGAGACCCTGGACAGCACCGCAGCTGCTGCAGCGGCAAGCGCCAAGCGGGCACGCACCGAGAGCGGCTCGGAGAAGCGTTCGCCAGAGACGAAGAAGCTGAAGCCGCAGTCCAGTCCGGCGCACGACAAGTCCATGGACGAACTGGCCGAGGCGAGCAATCAGGTAAAGCTAGAGAGCAGCAGCGGCGACGAGCTGAGCGAGGAGATCAACGATTTGCTCACATCCACAAGTGCTGGCGGTACAGCTGAGTCAGCCGAGATAGCTGCTCCGCCGCCGCCCGCACCGCCAGCCCCAGCACCAGCTCCAGCTCCGGCTCCGGCTCCGTCACGAGCCAAACGCAGCGATGGCCCCGGCGCTGGCGGCGGCAAGGGCGCCAGGGCAGCGGCTGCAGCGCGCAACTTCAAGCCGCTGCTCAGCGACGACGTGATCAAGCGCATACGCCGCGGCTGGACGATAGCGAACTCGGCGGACATCACCATCGGGGATCTGTACGTGGTGCTGGGCCAGGACTCCAAGCTGGAGCTCGAGTATTACTGGTGTGAGCCGGAGGTGGGCACGTCGAGCAGCGCCACAGGCGTCAGCGCCTCGACGTCCACGTCCTCCTCGTCGTCAGCTTCGACATCGCTGCCCTACAATGCCAACGACTGTGATAGCGTGGAGCGCGTCAAGGCCATCAATACGGCGTCGGTGAGCAACAAGCTGAAGCATCTGCTGCTCGTCGCCAATCTCAGCGAGCGTGTGCGCAAGCGCCAGTGCAGCTGCGGCCACAGCTGCGATCGCAAGCGCGATCTCATCACGAAGGCACGCTGGATGAGCAATCTGGGCGGCTCTGGGCCCGGAGCGGCAGCAGGCGGTGCAGCTGCGGCAGCCAGCGCCAACCCTGGCGATGGCAATGAGGTTGTCTTTCGCACGCCCATGCTGCCAGTGCGTCGGCCCATGGTCAACATCATTGATCCAGTGCGTCAGCTGAGCAAGGTGCGAATCACTTACAAACTGTTGCGAAAAATATATATTACAAATTTGCATTGCTTTTCCAGCTGTCGCGCCAGAAGCTCTCACGGCAGGTGCTGGTGCAGCGTTGCCTCCTGCCGCCCTCCTCGGTGGATCAGCCGTACGATGTGCTCAGTCTGCGGAATCTGCAGAACGGACTCTTCGAGCCCATCGACCGCGTCAGCAGCAGCAGCAACGCAAACGACAACGATGAGATCAACGCTGTGATATCCAAGCTGAATGCAATCAGCAGCAGCAACGCCAGGCAGCAGCGGGCAGAGGCCGAGGATCGCAACAGCAGCAGCAGCAGCAGCAGCAGCGGCATGGGCAGCAGCATCAGCACCAACACCAACAGCAACAGCAACAGCAACAGTACCAGCGGCAGCGGCGATGGCGACGCCAATAATAGCCATAACAACAACAACTACTACAACAGCATGGAATGCAGCGGCTCGGGCGTCAGCGGCCTGGACATGCCCAACTTGGACTTTTGCGCAGAGCCAACAGCACTGCCAGCCACAAGCACAACACTGCCCGAGGATGTGCAGGACGAAAGCACCTGTAAGCGGAACCTATCGAATAGAATCCATGTGAACAAAGACTTAGATAATAGGTAGAGCGAACGAGAGAGAGAAAGAGAGAGCATGGCTTAGAGTTTAGATCAGGACAACTGATGTCCAGGGAGGATGAATACTCTGCTGATACCAGGCATTAACCCTAGAATAGGATGTACAATACTAGAGCGACAGTAAGCGACTTAGAACAAAGCGTAAAGAGTTTAGAGAGTAACCAGGATCGGGGAATACTCTTCTCTTTTAAAACAAGAGTCGATGTGATAAACTTAAAAGATACTTAGGGAATTTCTAATTAGTTAAAGGAAAAGAGGAAAACGGAAAACGGAAGAGAGAGAATTCTACGGTAGCAATAACTTTTTTTTTTTTTTTTGCAACTTGAGGTCACTTGTGTGTGCATTGGCATTTCAGTTCCAATCGTTCCTCGTGTCTTAAGCTTAGGCTATCCCTTTTCATTCTATACAAATATCTTAACAACTGTGCTGATCGTTGATTTAATGTTAATTCCTTTTCTTCTTCATCTTCTTCTTCTTCTTCTTGTTTAGCTCAAAGCTTCTTCAATGGCAGCGTCAGTCCGATGCATTTGCTGCGCGACTCCACGTCCAATGCACGCTGGCTGGAGGAGAATATCAATGACTTTTCGCTGACCAGTTTGCTGGGGCATCTGGATGATTTTGATGCCACGCGCGATATACTGGTGAGTGAATTCTAGTGAATCTAGTAGCAGATCAATCTCTCAATCAAACCATCTTTCAGGATCCTTCGTCTACGATGTCGGTGATCAGTGAGAGCAGCGTGGATTATCGTCACAAGTTTCAGGAGATTTCGGCTTTGCTGCAGCAGCAGGAGAAGGATTAACACACTGGAAATTGGCCTCTAGATCTTCTAGGGATTAACACACACACACACACACACACACACTACGTTGGCGTTCTTGAATTTGATTTGTTTTCGTATTACTATCAATTAGAGCAAAGAATATGCTATTCCAAAACAGAAAAGGAAATTAATTCTAACACGGATATTAATGTTAATTTCAACATTTTCAATATGTATCTGTATACAGATGTATATTCACATATATATCTATATCTATATTTTAAACACATTACATTTATCCTCATTACTACACTAAGCCTTGTGATTTTGAAATTGTTCTTTTACGTTACGTTTAATACTAATATTAATACCACTTATATGATACTTGGAAACAAACATACACATGCTCGATATTTATTTCATACATATTATCTATACCTAAGTATTACAAGCACTCACATTGTCTTACGTTGTCCAACCCGAACTGAACGGGGTTTCGATTTCATACTTTTTTTTTTTTTTTTTTTACTTTTTTGTTTTGGTTGTAGCTCTTAGATTAGCTTAGTTATTAGAAATTTAGTCGCGAATAAGTTGTATTGTAGTTGTAGTTGCGAAATCTTCATATAATCATAATAATAAATAACAGTTTACCCTGTGTATATACGCCCGAAGAAGAGAATTGCATTTTATTTCTATATTTGGGAAGTAAAAAATTACAAATATGAAACATACGAAAACGTAAAATTGGAAATTAGCATAATGTAACAATAACATATGTATGTATGTGTATATATGTATCTGTACAATAATGTAATGCGTACTTGGTACATTTTAGGCATACGCCACTGTAAGACATACGTCATTTCTGAATGAAAGACACACACATGCATATGCATATGCATATGCATATGTATGTATGTGTGTTTATTGCTACGCTTCCAGCTAAGTTTGCTGATTCAAACGCTGGTTACCAATCGACGCCTCGCAAGACACCGATATACATACATATGTACACACATATGCATGCGTATTTCTCTGTGTATGCATGTGAGTGCTTTTGTAGTGGCAGTGCAATGAACGAGAGCCCACTTCAAGAAAGCAAAAGTGAGAAATAGTTAAAGCGAGAGCGCCACAGAGAGACGTGCTGAAAGAGAGCTGACGCTCGTGCAGTAAATACATAGTTCCGATAAGCAACGGCAGTTTGCTATGACAACAACAACAGTAAATAAGAGTCGCCCGTTTTGTTGTTGTTGCTGTTGTTGCTATTGGCTTTGCGCTGACTGACAAATCCAGTGTCTGCGTCTTAGCCTACCGCTGCAAAGTGTTAATCATTATTTAATTTTTTTTTTTTTGTTGCTGCTGCCGCTGCTTCTGTTGTTTTATTTTTTTTTTTCATTGCTGTGTTCTTAATACTGTAATTTTGTTTTCCAGTTTAGGCGTTTTATGATGCGCCAGTCGAGTCTGTCACATTAGTTGGCTGCCAGACGTGCCAGCGACAACCTCGAGCTCCAGCAGCAACAGCAACAGGAACAACAATAACATGGCGGAGAGCAACAGTGTTAGTCTCATGGACTTGGCCCACCTTAAGGAAGTAAACTTATCAGTTGGCTGAATTTATTTATTTTTTTTTTTTTTTTTTTTTTTTTTGTACAGCCGCAGCACATCTTGACGATGAGCGGCGAGCAGCGGCAGCGGTTCTTGGAGTCGTTTGATTGGGTCTTCAGTGACATAGATGGCGTCATCTACAACCTGGAGTCGGATGTCCCGGATGCTGGCCTGGCCTATAACGCACTCGAGCGGGCCGGCAAGCGGCTGACCTTCGTGACCAACAACAGCGTGCGCACCCTGGAGCAGACGGCGCGACGCTTCGCCAAGTCAAAGATCCAAGTGGCGCCGGAGCAGATCTGGCATCCGGCCCAGACGCTGGTCTACTATCTGCGGAGCATCCAGTTCGAGGGGCTAATCTATATCATGGCCTCGCCACAGTTTAAGGCGGTGCTGCAGCAGGCAGGCTTCCAGCTGCTCGAAGGCGTAAGTAGCAGCCGCGGCGTCCTGCTCAAGTGCTAATCCCATCTGGATGCTTCACTGTTCTAGCCCAATCACTTTATCGAGGAAACCTATGAGGATCTGGCGCGCCACATATTCGACAAGCAGCCAGTGCGTGCTGTGGTCATCGATGTCGACTTCAATCTGACCTCAGCCAAGCTGATGCGTGCCCATCTGTACCTGCGTCATCCCGACTGCCTGCTGATTACCGGCGCCACAGATCGCCTGCTCCCAGTGGGCAAGGGTGTGAACATCATCGGGCCCGGCGCCTTTGCCTCCATTCTCGTGGAGGCCAGTGGCCAGCCGCCGATTGTGATGGGCAAGCCGGGTCGGCCGCTGGGCGACATGCTCCTCCAGCAGAACAAAATCACGGATCCACGGCGCGTGCTCATGATCGGCGACATGCTCGCTCAGGATGTGCTCTTCGGCCGCCAGCTCGGCTTCCAGACGCTGCTCGTCCTAACCGGCGGCTGTTCGCTCCACCAGCTCCTGGCCGTAACGGATCCCGATCTGCTGCCGGACTACTATGCGGACAGCGTGGTGGATCTACTGCAATTGCTGCCTGAGAGTACACCCAAGGCGCATGGCTAAGCCCAACCAAGATTTGAAGCTATTCAAATGCTTTTAGATATATATATATATATACATGCATATATCGTTTTAAGGGTTAAAGGTGACCTTGTCATATATACAGAAAATTTATTCCTAATTATTCCAAACCGGTTCCGCTTTAATTTAGTATATGTATTATATATAGTATGTATTATATTGTTGATAAGACCATGCTCTTAATATATACATATATTCTGTTTCACTTCATTATTTTGTCTCGGATTTGTCAAATTATTCTGAAGTATCC